AAAAATCAGCTGATGACAGAAAGTGAAACCTTGCTCTCATGTGTCAGGAATTGGTTCAGTATCTCTGAATCAAAGCTACAAGAAGGAATCAGCTGAACAACATGCAGCTAAAAACACAAAGCCAGTGTGTATGAAAGCCGGCTCTCACCGCGTCGTGGTTCTTGCGGAACGAGATCACCTGAGCGTCGTCCCCGAAGCGCTGGCCCAGAGCCAGCTGGGTGACGGCCTTCATGGCGAGGCCCAGCAGGTGGGCGCACAGCGGGGTGTGCTGGGCCTCCGGGAACGACGCCCACTTCCCCACCAGCTCGTCCACCAGCTGCCAAAACAGACGTCAAACACAGTGAACGTGCAGCCGGACAGATTTGAAACGTGTCTTCTCTGTGGTGGCGATGCGAACCTTCAGCACGAGAGGGAAGTTGTTCTTCAGCGTGTTGTTGATGGCGCCCTCGTAAACCTTCTTCCTGACCACCGTCTCCCCGGCGCCGCCTCCCGACTGGTAACCTAGCAACGACTTCAGCATCGTCTCAAAGGAGTCCGCTAAGGGTCAAACAAAAAGACAGAGAAGGCTCATCGATAGTTCTTCTAGTAGTGAAGGAAATAAATGAACTCCGACTGCGACAAGTGATTATTTTCACTGTCTAGTAGTTGTTTGGTCTGTAAAATATCAGAAAATAGTGAAAAAAGTCCATCAATGTGTCGAAAAACTGTCCAAAACACAAATATGTTCGGTTTACTGTCACAGAGGAGGAAAGAACTTAGAGAATATTCACATTTAAGAAGCTGCAATCACCAAAAAACCATAATCAAAACACGAAATCTACATTTTTGCATTGTTTCGTTTGCATTGCATGAAAATACATAAAACACATGACATTTGATGATTTAGGGAGACTAAACTCTAAACGAGGGCTGCGACGAATCATTATTTTCAGTGTTGATTATGTTCTCGATTCGTTGTTTGGTTTATAAAATGTCAAAAAATGGTGAAAAGTATCCATCAGTGCGTCTAAAAACAGTCCAAAACCCAACAATATTCAGCTTACGGTCACAGACGAGGAAGGAGACCAGAAAATATTCACATTTAGGGAGCTGGAATCACAGAATTTAGACACTTCTTCCCTAAAAATTGACCCAAACTGATTGACTGATTATTAAACTAGTTTATCTGTAGCATTATTTATTTTAGATTGCAAAAAAAGAAGACTGATCAATACATGGGATATCATTTTTTGATTAATTGATTAGTTGTTTGGGCTCTAAAATGTCAGAAAAAAGTACAGAAATACTGATTAGACTCAGTTTATTGCCTCTGAGGAGGAAAGAAACCAGAAAATTACATTTTATGAAGCTGGAATCAAAAGATATCGACTTTTTCTTTGTTTAAAAAATGACCCAACCAGATGAACTGATCATTAGAACAGTTCCTGATTAATGTAATAGCTGACAGCTTCCTTCATACAGACTCAGCAGACTGGTTGTCTTACTGGCGTGGTTCGGGTTGATGTGCTGCCGAAGCTGCTCCACGGCGCCCAGACTGACCACCGGCCGACCGCCGAACCAGAACGACGCCACAGAACCAAACTCCTGATGGAGGCTGACCAGGAACTCGTGCAG